AAACTAAATTTTAGACTCTTTGAATTTTGTATCTTCAAAACTAAAATCCAATGGTTATTTCTGTCTCTACCTAAGCAACAGGTCAAAACTCGCGGCTGGCCCACTGCAAAATTACAAATACATAAAAGGCAGTGGCATCCGAAAGGGTCAAACCAATAATCAATTGGACTAAAATTTCAGTGGTTTTTTAATGCATAAGAACTAATTGGTTTATCAAAAATTAAAATTAATTACTACCCGGTAATATAATTTGAAAAAAAAAAATACAATTTGTTTTGTATTCTAAACTTTGAGCAAGAAATTCCAATGAAAAACATTAGTCCAGGGCCGGAAACTCAAAACAAGCCCGGGTACTTTTACAAGTCAGTTGAACTGCCCATATCTAGCCAAATGCACTTCAAGAATCCACCTGAGAAGATTGTTTCAATATCAAAAGATATTACATTTGATCATTTTGACCCCAAGATATTTTGATATGGCAAAAACATTTCAAGTCCTAAAAATAATGCTTTGTAACATGTTATCTAGGTTGTTCATTTTCAAAATTTCTAAATGTTTTTATATCTGCTTGATCTACACCATTTTCCAAACTTAAGATTTCTAATCTAAAATAATGATATTTCAAGTACTAAAAAATAAGCATAACTTATTATAATACACCTCCCTTTTAAAGTATTTAATATTTAACCCTTTTTCTACTATTCCAACTCCTATTTAGTTGGGTATTTTGAAATTAAATATAAAAGGATGGGTGAAATCAGTAATCGTGGATCCAAATCAAAATTGCCTGATCCAAATTTGGAGAAATTTTAGTTCCCACCATACTTTTATATAATTTTGATTATATGTTTTTGCTAAAAAAAAAATTAAAAAATTTGTAATTTTAAGTACGCGTTATTAGGCATTTTTAAATTTTTAGCTAATTTTTATTTTATGGCTGAGTTTCTTATTTTTCATATTTTTTTATTTCTATTCTATATTTACTTTTCCATATTTGTAAACTTTATTTTCAAATCATAAGTTTTAAGATAGAAATTAACTTTAAAATCTTAATTTTTGTACTTTTTACCATCTAACATCAAACTATTGCCTAATAAATCTCTTTGGTTATTGAATATTTATCAATATTCCACAATTATTTTTAAATTTTACGTGCAATGCACATAATTCAACTAGTATAAATTAAAGTGCTCATTCACCCTAATAGAATTGAATACTTTGTGATATAAAGTTTTGTTTGTTAGAGAGAGACAAAACTTTATCATCTGATGTAACGAGGAAGTTAGAGAGAGAGGGAATATCGTCGTTCGTAATTTGTAATACCTTTTTTAAAAAAAAAATTGCAAATGTAGCCACTTATTGTTTCAAGGAAAATTGTTCTATGCGGACCGGATTGCATTTATACAATATGCGGTCTCCAGCCGCATTTATACAATATGAGGTTCCAAAGTGTAAAGCATCCGTGGTCCACTTAAAAACAATTGAAATTAATGGTTTAAATATTTTTTTAATAGAAGTATTACTTTTAATTTTCAAAATTTGGTTAAATGAAAGGAAAAAAATAAAATAAATGATGGTTATAGATTGGGAAAAAAAATTACAAACATGTTTCAAAAATCATAAATTAGGAGGTCAGGACCAATTCCTGATTTCTCGAGAGAATTAGTTTGGTAAACCTCCATATATGATCTACTACGATTCTTAATCCAAATTGGTAATTTTTCAGACGTTGCAATGACGTGAGTGATTTTATCCATATCGAGAGTTAGGTGATGATTTGGAAGGAAAATTTTTTATATAAGGTATTAACCTTACAATGTAAAATCTAGGGGCGCGTCATCAAAAGAGGTTTTCAATGGCATATCTTGACCTCAGGATTCAGATAGGGAAAAAAAAGAATAATTTCAAATCATAAAAAATACACATTATCTATGCTCCATTTTCAAGACTTTCAAGAGTTTGTTGATCTGTTCGATTTATACCAATTTTTGAGTTGTAATTTCATAATTACAAGTGAAATAGGTTTTGAAGTCACTAAACTTCCAATACCAAACTTATTTCTTTCAAGAAGATTTGGAGGTGCTTAGATTGTTTAAAGTTGACACTTTATGCAAACCCCTTGGAATAACCAATTTTTCTGAACTTAATAATTTGAGTTGAAAAAGCACTCGAAAATGGTATTTCCGCTTTTTAATCTCTTTCTTTCTTGTTTTGAGCGATTTATTTATAAATCATTTTTCACTGTTATGCAAGATTTAAGTGTTTTTTTTCCCTTTAAATGCTCACCTCACTTTTTTAAAAATTTAAATTATATCTGACACATTCAGGGTCTAAAAAAGGTGAAGACTTTGGTGGATTGTGTTATGTAGACAACCAATGTAAAACTTTGCTAAAACTTTAATAAATCCTGAATCTATGGGCCATGATTTGTGTATCCGAGCTCACCGAGCTGTAAGACGTATGGTTTGCATGCTTGAATAGACACTCTAGAAATGGTTGTATGGTTCTCATGGCTTAACAAAAGAAGATAAATCATGAGATAAAACCATTGTGCCATATTGTCATTGGGGCACACCTATAAAAAATATTAAAACTAATTTTTGGATAAAATATAATGACCAAAATACCCTTTAAAACTTTTAGGGGTATTTTGGTCATTTTATTGAAAATATTTTTTTTATATGTTTCGCTAGTGCAAGTTTAATAGAGGATTGGATGTCCAAAATTTGGTGTCAAAATAATCTATATAAAAAACATTAAAACTAAAATAGTTTGATGGGAGCAATTTTAGCCCTCCATTCATAATGGGCGGTTGGATAAGGGGAAGTATATAAGTTTTATGCTGTAGGAGAAGCATGTAAAGAGTGTTCAATTTTTATTGAGGTTAATGAGATCTATGTACATTCTCGAGACATTATAATTTCTTCCAGTGCATAGAAAAGGAAATTTCTTTTATTTTTTTTATTGAGATTAGCATATGGATAAAGAGAGGTTGCCACTAACAATCCCAAATTTTGGGGTCTCGCAATTGCTTCCGGATTGGATTTTACTTTGAAGGAGTAAATATCCAATAAGCTTATGGAGGAATATGGAATCTTTTTTACTTTATATCATGCCACACTCTACCACCAGTCATCGAAAAAGTTTTTTTTCAATTAGTTGGGATCGGATATAGAAATCCTGATCTATCGTTCTATGACGAATAAAAAACTGAATTAATATATTTATAAATAGTTCGTGGCCTCCTATCCTTCTAAGTTTTGGCTTCATCACAAAATTATCTTATATAAAAAAAAAAGTTATTTTCTTTATTTTTAAGGGTTAGTTTTTTATTCCTTGTTAATTGTGAGTTGAATGAGATCTCTCGAATCAATTATTTAATTACCATTGGTCTCAAACGTGAGTTTTATTTGGGAGTAATGGGTCGTGGTCTTGTCCTTTAGCCTCATGGTCCGATGTCTTTGGCGTAAAGCGGATAATGTCTTGGTACTTGGATGAGAAACTCGCCAAGTCAGGTCGGAATTGTCCTCCTAGATATTGGTACCGAGTCTACTGATCCGTTATTGATTTGGATTGTATTAGAATCGGTAACTGACCCGTTTTGTTCAAAATCATATTCATACAATTCGTATAAAAAAAATTAAAAATAAATTAATTGGAGACGTCGGATCTAATATCAAATGGTGAGTGACTCTCTTGATCAAAATTGTACAGTTGCATGGTAGGGGAAGCATAGATCTTTTATGCGGTAGGGGAAGTATAGAAACCTTTCCCATAAAAATTTTCCAAATCGTTCTTTTTATGCATTTGAAAAAAATAGTCTCGAGACTATGCATAGATTATTTGAGAGCGAGATCTAAGTGTAACAAGACTTAAATTTTAAATTTTAGTTTTAAAATTAACTACCCAATAATTCTTAAGGAAAAAAGTTTATATAAGGTTGCAATCTTAAAATATAAAATTAAAGATGCACCTAAATATCTATCATAAAAAGGTTGTTTTAATGTTAAAAACACTCTAATTGATTATCTTGACATCGATATTTACATATACGAAAAAAAAAAGAAAAAAGATTTTGAATCTCAAAAATAGTACATCGTACAACACATTATCTTGACTGTCTATTTACAAGATTTTTATATATTTATAGATCTACTTTGATTTTAACCATTTTTTGAGTTTAAAATTTTATAATTAGATATGAAAATAGATTTTCAGATAACCCTAAGAATTTTTTACACCTTATGTAAAATTTGGAGGTGCGCCTTAATTGGATTGTTTAAGGTTGCAACCTTATAAGAAAACCACACCCATTCTTGAGTGGTTCTCAAGATCCTCTAGGAAATCTGCCCGAGAGAGTAGGCGTACAATGTGCACCCGCCAGAGCATAGTATATGCGCTCCGAGACAATAGTAATACGCAAATGATAGTCTCTGCGGGCGACATGATCTTGGAGAAAAGGCGCAGGAGCAGAGAACAATGGTGAGTTCGTCGCCATTAGCAGAGGACCCTTCTTCATCTTCTCCCTTATTACATGAAGATGTTGACACAGTCAAGGCCGCAGTGGGCGGCCGTGGCCGCTCTGCAACTGGGGGGTGGAGTGCCGCCATTTACATCATCTGTATGCCCTTTTCCTCTCAACTTCACTGTCACAATTCCCGCTTCTCTCTCTCTCTC